GGGCCAGGGATTTAGCTCAGTGGTTCCAGCGCCTGCCTCACAAGCGCAAGGTCCCAAGTTCAATCCCTGGTACCAAAAAAAAAAAAAAAAAAAAAGCCAACTTGAGCAATTGAGCATGAATCTGTCAATATAAAGGGCTGGATGGGAATGTGGCTCAGTGCGAAGGTCCTGGGTTCATTTCCCAGTATCATACAAAAAATAAAAATAAATATATAGAAATCCGTAACAATTCTAAATGCTGCCATTTTTTTCTTTTTTCTTTCTTCTTTTTTTGTTACGTTTCCAGTGTGCTGGGCTGGGTGGGCGCACTGTCCCACCTTGCCCGGCCAGGAAGCAGAGCCTGCTATGCCCTTTGGTCTGTGGTCCAGGGAGGCAGTGTGCCCTACCTGGGGTCACTGGGTCACGAATGGCAGAGCCCACATTTGCCGCAGATCCCCAAATTCAGAGCCAGGGCTGAGGACAGGGCGGTGCTCATGCAAAGGAACCCGTTGCTGCCATTGCAATACAGTTTTCCAAACGTCATCTTGTGTGCAGTGCCCTTACTGCTCCTAGCACCCCGCGAGAGAAACAGCTGTGCTGTCCTCAGATGCAGATAAGAGGAAATCTAAGAGGGCAAAAGACAAATGGGTTGAAAGGCAAAGCTCATACAAAGCAAGGTTTCTTTTCTTGAGTATGAACAACACCTTTTAATGGCTTGTGTTTCTTATTTTTTCCCAAAGATTCGTAATAAAAATACATAGAATTTCAGGAATCACAGTACAGTGGGTGATGACAGAGTGGAACGGGACAGTGTGTGCAGTTCGATCCTCCCGGTGGGCAGGATTCACCCCAGGGAACCCTAACAAGCGCAAGGCTGCCACCCCTGCTGCCTGCTGTCTCGGGCGCTGGCACTGGGGAACCGTCCTTGAAAACAGAAATGAAAGTGAACGCGGTGGACGGCCTCACCCTGCCCTTTCCGTCCTCTTCACATACGCAGGTGCCCCAGGGCGCCGGGCAGACTCGGGTCCCTGAGGTGGCCCAGAGATGTGCTCTGAGGCAGCTGCTGCACTGCAGGCGATGGAAGTGAGGGGCCCAGAACTGCAGCAGGAGGCCGAAGTCCTCCGCCCAGGGAGGACACTGAGGACAGGCACTGCCCAAACCCTGCCAGCCAGTCGCCCATTCAACAGAAAAGGTCAAAACCACTGGGTTTTGAGTAAAAATCCTTCACATCCACCTGTGTTCAAAAATAATAACTTACCGGGCCAGGGATTTAGCTCAGTGGTTTCGCCGCCTGCTACGCAAGCGCAAAGACCCGAGTTCGATCCCCGGTACCAAAAACAAAACAAAACTTACCAAATTAGCAGCTTCCTTGAAAGAGCGATCACACTGTAAACCCTAAATCCAGAAAGGCTCACTTCCCCACGAAGGGAAAAACACGGGCGAAACAGCTGTGGCACCTCGCGTTTCCCACCACCGGGTCAGAAGGTTAAGCAAGGCAGGCAATTTCCCTGTGAGGGTCTCAGCCCCTCAGACTGACAGATTAACCACATCCGGCGAGGCGGCATCTGGCAAAGCAAGGTTTCCATCAGTTCTCCCCTACCACACGCCCGCTGGGAAGCGCTGTTTGATGTCTCACTTGAGCCCAGGGGAGAGGGCAGGGACCAGGGCTTTTCCCACGTTTCCTCCAACAGCCTGTGGCCTGAAGACCCTATCTTTGTGCAGTGAGTATTTGCTGAGGACCTAGCATGTGCCCGGCCCTGGAATTACACCTGAGACCACGGCTGTGTGGCTCCTGGACTCAACAGAGCTCAGTGGAGGGAGCAGACAGGTCAGTTGGAGCAGGTGCTGCTAGAAGCCAGGCAGGAAGTAGGGGAGGCTGGGCGTGGAGGTCCACACCTGTCTTCACAGCACTTGGGAGGCTGAGGCAGGATGCTAAATTCAAGCCCAGCCTGGATGTTAGCATGACCCTGTCTCGAAAGTTAAAAAGAAGCTATGGGTGTCGCTCAGTGCAAAGGCCCTGGGTTCAATCCCCAGTACCATAAGAAATGAAAGAAGCAGGTGAAGTTAGAATGGCACCATAAGTCGTTTCTGATGACATTCACTGAATGGCCGCAAGAGAGCAAGCTGAGACGAAGTCAGAATTAGCGAGTGCTCCTTGGCCATCAGACCTTCAGGACTGCACGGAACATCCGTTGAACCTAGGTTGATGGCTCCAAGGCAAGTGCAAGGCAAAGCCTAAGGAAGGAGTTTAACCTTCCACTCTTCTGACCTTGCGATTGTCGTCAGGGTCACACACACCCCTCGACCACGCCCATGTTCCCGCCTCCTGGACTCTTCAAACCGCGCATGCGCACCAGAAACTGCAGTTCCTGGCGGAGGGCTCAGCGCCCACTGCCAAGCCCCGCCCCTCCGCCGCACCCGCTGGCGAGCGCCTTTTCTCGAGGCGGGGCTGTGGGCGGGACCTGCCGGAGGGGGGGGCGGTGCGTGCGTGTGTGTGCGTGCTGCGTGCCCGCGCGCCGCGGGCGGGCCAGTGAAGCCGGCCGCCCCGGCACGTGATCTGGGACCGGTGGTGTCGCTTGGTGGCTCGGTCTGTCCGTCTGTCCGTCCGCGGGTGCCATCATGGCGGACGCGGCCAGTCAGGTGCTCCTGGGCTCCGGTCTCACCATCCTGTCCCAGCCGCTCATGTACGTGAAAGTGCTTATCCAGGTATGAGTCGTCGCCGTCCCCTGCCCGAGGCGCCCGGGGGTCAGTGCGGCCCCTTCTCCGCGCCGGTCCTTGGCGGGACGGCGCCCACCGCCCCGAGGGTCCCGCGTCCGCGCCCTGTCCCGGCCAACTGCCACCGTGCTGCCGGCGGCGGCGGCGCCCGAACCGGAACCGCGCTTCCGCCCGAGAGGAGCCTGGCCTGGGCCCCTCGGCGTCGACAGCCACGCCCGGGCCACCGCGCGGGACGCGATACCTCAGGTGGAGCCAAATCGGAAAGAAGAGAGAGCCAACATTGTTATTCCTTACTCGCTTTGCTTCCCATTTTTCTTCTCTTCTATTTATTTCGCTACTGTCACTACTGCCGTTCTCCTCAGAGATTTTAGCACTAGATACCCAGATAAACACAAGGACCCATTCAGAAGTGATCAGGAAGTCAGGTTTCAGAAGGGTCCATTGAGCTCTTCCCACAGCAAGAGTCCGTGTGGTTTATGACAGCGAATATCGCGTTCTTCCAGCTGGAAATCAGTTCCGCGGAGACTTTCAGGAGTTTAAGCAAGCCTTAAGCTCCCTAATGTTCCATCTCGCCTCCACTGGGTTTACTTTCTGATTCTTACATGGCATTCTGTATTCATAGGCAGGTAGACCAGTTTTTAGCTGATGATAGACTTAGATTGTATTTTCAGTTGCTTTTCTAAGCTTCCCTGAGAAGGACAGGTCATTCTTTTTTTCTTTTTAACCTTTGTTAAGAGTTGGCATAATTACCTCATTCATTGTACCAAGGAAGGAAGCAGTTTTTAAAGTCCAGGTTTTCTCTACCTTTCTGTGAAAAACATGAAGACAATAGAGAGGACCTTATTCTTGAGGTGTGACTGACAAATTACTTGTTGCTGTTGACCCATGTACATTCAGATTCTGTGTGGAGAGGCCTCTTGTGACACAGGTTATTTGCACCCAGAGCAGAGACATTGAGATGTACCGTGATGTTTAAAACAGGATTGGCACATTTGGGCCTGATGGCATCTGAGGTGACATTTTTCAGCATATCCAGTATGAACCCATTACTCAATAGTTCCCCTGGAGACAATGTTAAGTGACATTCAGAGCTCTTACCCCAAAAGCTTGAATATCCTTCATTCTGATTTCACAACATCGGGGTGCTGTCCAGTGTGTGGGTTTTGGTGAAATTCCCAAATACTCAGCTTTAAAAATAGTTCCATGATGGGCCGGGGATTTAGCTCAGTGGTTTCACCGCCTGCTGCGCAAGCGCAAGGACCCGAGTTCGATCCCCGGTACCAAAAAAAAAAAATAGTTCCATGATAGTAGACAGGAGTTATTTAATAGAATAGCTTACGGGCCAGGGATTTAGCTCAGTGGTGCTGCCGCCTGCCTCACAAGCACAGGATCCTGAGTTCAATCCCCTGTACCAAAACCAAAACAAACAAAAAATAGAATAGAGGGGCCGAGGATTTAGCTCAGTGGTTTCACCGCCAGCTGTGCAAGCGCAAGGACCCGAGTTCGACCCCCCCCATACCGAAAAAAAATAGAACAGATTACGAGGTAACTACAAAACAGAGTCAAAACTGTCCTGTAGCGTTGAGTCCCTCAAATATCCAAATAGCATCAAAAATCCTGAATAGACTCCACAAATACAATGGTAATCATTAATTTTATAGAATGCCCTCTGTTAGATTGTTAATGAGAATCAGTTCATTTAACAGGAACCTAGCTTGTGATCATTTCCTAAGTGAATTTCGCAGCTATGTCTACATTTGGCCCCTGAATGTTTTTGTCGGACCAAGTGATGCTGGCATAGTGGGCATCTTGTCTTGTTCAAACATTAAAGATGTCCTAGATTTTCTTCTGAAGATATTTTTTGAGTCTCCTCAGTAAAGTGTTTCTAACAAAAGTTTCCTTATCCCGTTTCAGTCATAAAAAAAAATTAGCTTTTCCAGCACCTGCCTTGCAAGCACAAGGTCCGGAGTTTGATCCCCAGGACCAAAAAAAAAAAAAAATTAGCCTACTTCATGGACTTTGAACTGGAGTTTATTGAACCTAGCCTTAATCAGTTCGACAGAACAGAAACCGAACAGGATGGTACTTTACCCTTTGTTGGAAAACATAAATTGCTTTTTTTTTTTTTTTCTGGTACCAGGGATTGAACTCACGTCCTTGCACTTGCAAGGCAGCCGAGGCACCACTGAGCTACATCCCAGGCCCCAATTGCTTTTTTACTCGTGTTGTTTATTTAAGGCCCTGCCACCAAGGGATTCCTGGGAATGCTAAATGTTAACATTTTCCCTTGTTTTTAAAGGTGGGATACGAGCCTCTTCCTCCAACAATAGGACGGAATATTTTTGGGCGACAAGTGTGTCAGCTTCCTGGTCTCTTCAGTTACGGTGAGTGTCTCGGATTTATTTGGGAGCAGATGATGTTGAGGACCGGCAGGCAGGAGCTACTGGAGAACCTAAGGCCGGCCTGACATTTTCGTGTAACCATTTCTCTGAACTGGACCTGAAATCTCTGACTTGTGTTCCTAGCTCAGCACATTGCAAGCATTGATGGAAGGCGTGGGCTGTTCACTGGCTTAACTCCAAGACTCTGTTCGGGAGTCCTTGGAACTGTGGTCCACGGTAAAGTTTTACAGGTAAGAGGAAAAGCAATTCATTTTCTGTTGGATTTTAATTGCTTTTTATGTTCAGTTTATTCTACTGATTAAGAGCAATTTTTGTTCTGTTTTGTTGAGACAAGGTCTCACTGTGTAGTTCAGGCTGACATTGAACTCACTGTATAATCCAGGCTGGGCTCTGCATGTCTCGGCCTCTAGTACTGGGATTACAGTGTGTACCACCACAACCAGCGCATTTTTTCTCTTAAAAAAATATTTTTTCTTAAAATACCTATTCATCTTTCCTATATAGGTCAATATATTTTCATCAAAGAAGGAAAGATGCTGATGAAAACATTCTTTTCCCTAAAGTTAATTTTTTAAAATTTCTAATGCTATCTTTTTTTTTTTTTTTTTTTGCTACCGGGAATTGAACTTGGGTCCTTGCGCTTGCGAGGCTGGTGGCAGAACCACTGAGCTAAATCCCCAGGCCAATAACACATTTTGTATTAAAAACTTTTTTTATAGGAAGAATGTAAGGTAACCGGGTGTGGTGGTGCGTGCCTACCATCCCTGTACTCTGGAAGGCTGAGGCAGGAGGATCGCAAGTTGGAGCCCAGCCTGGGCGACCTAGCCACTTGGCAAGACCTTGTCTCAAAAAATTTTTTTAAAAGGGCTGGGATGTATATCTCAGTGTTGGTTCAATCTCCAGTACCAAAAAAAAAAAAGAAAACAAAACAAGCCTCCAAATCAGGGGAGTTGTTACCTATGGGGAAGGGAAGGAGGGCCTGGGAGGGCAGTGCTCCTCTTGGCCTGTGTGTGTCGTTGCCTGTCAGGTATTTACCATGCTGTGCACTGTTCTGTGTTCGCGTTGGGGCCTGGTCACATCGAACAGCAGTGCAGGGTGGTGGTTTCCTTTGAGAAGGGGGAGGATGGAGGGAGGCCCTGAGCTGCCTCTCCCGCTCGGCTTGCATGTGAAGGAAGTGGAGACCTGAAACCCAGGAGGACAGAGGTGCTGAGGGTACCCGTGGCTTCCTGGGCTGTCTGCTCCTGTCTCTGTGCAGGGGACGGGGCCCAGCTCAGCACCACACCCCGGACAGCCTTCCCAGCATAGAGCAGTGCCAGCCCTTGGAGGGCATGTGCCTTGCTGGTGGGTGTGCAGGTGAATTTTAAATTTGTTTTGATATGTGTGAGAGATGTTTTCCAGTATGTCATAACTTTTTTCTTCTGGTGCCGGGGATGGAACCTGGGGTCTCCCACATGCTAAGCATGTACTTTACCACTGAGCCACACCCCCAGCCCATAAAGTTGGTTTTTTTTTTTTTTTTTTGGTACCAGGGATCGAACTCAGGTCCCTGCGCTTGTGCAGCAGGCGGCGAAACCACTGAGCTAAATCCCCGGCCCATAAAGTATTTTTAAAACATCAGTACAGGGCTGAGACCCCAAAGCTTAGCTTCCGGTTCTAGCTGTGCTGACTGAGGCCTCTGCCACCCCCTAGAGTTCCTCCTACCTCGGCCCAGCCTCCCGTCTCAGGTCCTAGCACCAGTATGCCGAGGCCCGGGGCCTAGGGCGTGCTGTGTGTGTGTGTGTGTGTGTGTGTGTGTGTGTGTGTACAGGTACATGCGTGTGTGTGCCCATGTGTGTACCAGGCCCCCTGAGGCTGTGCTGGTGGCCTTACTCCAGGCCACTGCCATCTCCTGGTCTCCCAGGTCTCCCAGCTGTGTGCTGCGCCTGAGCCTGAGCCCCTGCACGGGCTGCCCAGGACATCCTGGTCACAGGAGCCTCGTGTGCAGATTGAGCTGGGCCCGGGTTCCCCCAAGCAGATGGGAGCAGCTGGCCCAGGCGGCCTCCAGATGGAGGCTGAAGAACAGGCAGCCAGAGACTGCTCCTCGGCTTCTCTGCCCCACTCGAGGGCATATCCTGCCACGGACAAAGCCAGCAGGAGGACCCAGGTGGTGTGGGATGCCATGGTGAAGCCTGGGAAGGGTCCTGAGGGCTGTGTGCACTGAGAGGCCGGAGCAAGGCTCGGAGGACCTGGTAAAGCACCAGTGCCTGCGGGGGACTTGGCCCTCAGTACGTGCCCAGTGCAGGGTGGACCTTGTGTTGGACCTCATGTCCTTTCAGGGCCTCCTTCCTCCCGAAGCCACCACTGTTCCCTCGGCTGCGAGTCTGGACGCGGCAAAGGCAGGCAGAGACAGAGTCCACCTGACAAGCATCACAGACACAGTTCTTTCTTTGTGATCCTTTGGTTTTGCCAGCTTCTCTTTACTTCTGATAGTAAAGCTGGTGATATTCTGATTGTTCTGATTTCTCAATTGTACTTACCACAGTGTCAGGATAAATTAACCTTTAAAGTTAGTGTTTAGAAAATGCATCTGCACACAGAATTGTCCTCTGCTATATTTATAAAGGTGTCATGTAGCCAGGTGTAATCCCAGCACTTGGGATGCTGAGGCAGGAGGATCACTGAGTTCAAGGCCAGCCTGAACTACACCGTGCGACCCTGTCTCAAAAAATAAATAAATAAAAATCTAGAAAGGTGTCATGTAGCCAGGTGTAATCCCAGCACTTGGGATGCTGAGGCAGGAGGATCACTGAGTTCAAGGCCAGCCTGAACTACACTGTGCGACCCTGTCTCAAAAAATAAATAAATAAAAATCTAGAAATGAGTGAAAATTTTCAAAAAGGCCTGAAACTATTAAGAGTTAATTGTAGCCACAGACCTACAATATAGTTGGAAGATAGCGCTTTGCTTAATCTTAACATTTCTCTCGCCTGTGAGTATATGAGGGGTGTGTGTGTGTGTGTGTGTGTGTGTTACGGGGCTTAGAACCTTGGGACTCTTACAGGCTACCCAGGTGTTGCACACCTGAGCTATAGCTCTAGTCCTTGCCTGCGATTAATTAAAAAAAAGAGTTCGATTCTCGGTACCAAAAAAAAAAAGTGTTTTAGCAAACTGGTAGTGCACACCTGTAATCCCAGCATTAGGGAGGCTGAGGCAGGAGAACTTCAAGCTCAAGCCTTGAGCTACACAGGGCTGCCTGGGCTACAAAGGGAGACCCTGTCTCAAAAAAAAAAAGTATTGTCTATTTTTTTAATCTAATGTAACCAGAAAGTAATAAAACCAGTTGTCATCCAATAAGGAGCTCAATTATCTGACTGTTGTATTTTCTGCTAGCCCACTTTCTGCTTCTGAAATATCTGCTATTCTTCCAGTGTTCTCTGGGCTTTGGTATTACTCATATTCTCTTCTGCAGAAGAGAAAAAGTTGTCATTTACCTGTTTATTTTCTTTGTGATACTGGGGATTGAAAGCAGGGCCTACACAATGCGCTACATCCCCAGGCCTTTCTTTCTTGTTTCTTTTGAGGTAGGGTCTTGCTAAATTGCCCAAGCAGGACGTGAATTTGCAGTCCTGCCTCACCCTCGCAGAGTGCAGGGGTTGCAGGCCTGTGCACCAGGCCTGACTTCCTTTGTTTTCACTAAGTTTTCATGAACACAGCTTTGTTCCTCCACCTGACCACCAGTATGTTAAGCTCTGCAGTGAGATCCTCTTGAAGACATTTATTTCCGGTTGATTAATTAGCAGTAGAAATTAATTGAAGATTTGCAGAAAAAGAACAAAACTAAATGCCAGTTCTTCTGTTTTCTGCTAATAGAGTTTTCATCTTGTCTGCCCTCACAGGATACACAAGTGGCCCTAACCCCTGTTCTCTGTTTCTTCCACAGCATTACCAGGACAGGGACAAGCCTGAGGTATGTTGCAGCTGCCCACTGTGCAGATCCCAACTCCCTTGCAGGCCTCCTGTTCCATCGAAGCCCAGTGCTGGCTGGGCAGGGCTGCTAGCTGGAGCCATTCTGTTTCAAACTGGCAACCAGGAGTGCTGGGGAGTGCTTGTGATCCCAGCACTTGGGAGGCTGATGGAGGAGGATAATTGCAAGTTCAAGGCCAGCCTGGGCTTCTTAGCAGACCTTGTCTCTAAAAAGCAAAAAACCTATCAAGATTTCTGTCTTTTCTGATTTTTTTTTTTAACTTGAGACTTTTTTTTCCCTTTTATTTATTTATTTACTTATTTATTTATTTTTGGTACTGGGAATTGAACTCAGGGGCTCACACTTGGCAGTGCCACTGAGCTACATCCCTGGCCCTATTAGTTTTTTTATGAGTACATGTGTGCACTACATGACCACATTTATCATAGGGAGCTGGTCCATGTACATAACACATCCTAATGCTTTTTCATTCCCTCCCCTACCCTCCCTGCTCCCTCCAACTCTTGATCCTCTTCCCATCTACAAAAGATCTTACTTCGATTTTTTTTGTTCGATTCTTTTTTCAAATGCCTTTTCCCTTCCTTCCCTTCCCATTCTATCTCTTGTTCCCCTTCCCATTTGAAAAAGATCTCTGTACTTTGTCTTTTATTTTGTTCTTTATTTATATTTTGGTTCATTTCTTTTTTTTTTTTTCCCTGTACCGGGGATCGAACTCAGGACCTTGCGCTTGTGAGGCTGGCACTGGAACCACTGAGCTAAATCCTGGGCCTTTTTATTTATATTGTGGATTTCTCATGTAAGAGAAACCATGCAAGCTGGGTGTGGTGGCAGATACCTGTAATCCCAGCACTTGGGAGCCTGAGGCAGAAGGATTCCGGTGAATTCAAGGCCAGCCTGGGCTACATACTGAGACATTGCCTCAAAAAAAAACAATGTTTAAGCTTGTGCACCTGATTTATTTCACTTACCTTTTTGGTCTCAAGGTGCATTTGTTTTCTTACAAATAACTCTTAAGTTTATTCTTCTTTATGACAGAGTAGTACTCTTTTGTGTATGAATACCACCTTTTCTTTTTTTTTTTTTTGGTACTGGGGATCAAACTTAGGCGCTTGTGCTTGCGTAGCAGGCAGCGAAACCACTGAGCTAAATCCCCAGCCCTACCACCTTTTCTTTATCCATTCATCTGCTCATGGATGTTGTAGGCTGCTTCCAAGATTTAGCTATTATGAATTGTGCTGCTGTACACATGGGTGTGCATGCATCACAGTGATATGATGTCTTTAACTCTTTTGGGACAATCCCTAGTAGGAGAAAAGTGGATCACATGGAATTTCTAGTTTTCATTTTTTAGGATCTTATTTTATTTTTGTTTGTTTGTTATTAGTTACTAGGAATTGAACTCAAGACCTTGTGCTTGCCAGGCAGGAGTGGTGCCACTGAGCTAAATCCCTGGCCCTTGTTTTGTTTCTTGAGACAGGGTCTTGCTGTGTAGTTCAGGCTGGCCTTGAACTCACTATGTAGCACAAGCTGCTCTCGAACTCAAAGTGCTCCTCCTGCCTCAGTCTCCCAAGTGCTGGGATTACAGCTGTGCACCACCATGTCTGGCTAGTTTTAGATTTTTTAGGAATCTCCATGCTGATTTCCATAATGGTTGTACTAGTTTACACTCCCAGCAGTGTAGAGGGTTCGTTTTTCCCCACAACCCTGCCAGCATTTGTTATCATTTGATTTCTTTTTTTTTCCCTGTACTGGGGATCGAACTCAGGACCTTGCACTTGCCAGACAGACAGGGTGCCACTGAGCTAAATCCCCGACCATCATTTGATTTCTTTTTTTTGGGTACCGGAGATCGAACTTGGGTCCTTGCGCTGCTTTCGAGGCAGGCGACGGAACCACTAAGCTAAATCCCCGGCCTGTCATTTGATTTCTTGATGATGGCCATTCTTTGGAGTGAGATGAAATCTCAGTGCTGGATTTTTTGGTACCAGGGATCGCATTTAGATCCTTGTACTTTCGAGGCAGGCGGCAGAACCACTGAGCTAAATCCCTGGCCCTCAGTGTTGTTTTAATTTGTGTTTCTCTAGTGACCAGCAGTGTTAAACATTTTTTCATGTATTTGTTGACCATCTATACTTCTGAGAAATGCCTGTGCATTTTTTGATTGCATCTTTTATGGGGGGGGGCATCTAATTTTTTTGTTTCTTCTCTGGTTTTGATTCCCAGGAGTCAGGACCTGGAAGTGGACAAAAAGAGGGTTCGCCTTCCTTTGACCAAGTTATCAAAGAGGTGAGAGGAAGTCACTCCCTGCTCTTTCCCTGGGTTAAGGCCAGTGCTTCCCTGTCTGTCCCCAGAAGAAAGTGAGCCTTCGACTTAATCCTAGGGACGGAAGGGAAGGGGAAGCTAACAGGGTTAGGACAAGGCGTATACCAACTCCCCTCACTGAATGTACTAAATAGCAGCAATGACAGGAACTACTGACTACCCAGGCTCAGGATGGTCATGGCAGGCATCCCCTCTGCCCTGTCCTGGCAGCCTTCTGATCAGGATGGCACATGGCACGTTCACACCATCACAAGCTACGCTGCAATGTCCTGGGGTTCCAGTACAATTTTCGAGCCTTACTTTGTCGTCCTTAAAGGACTGCACCTGTGGGGACCAGAAGTGGGTCAAGGTATGGGGGAGGGGAGGGGCTGTGGACCACAGCGAGGTGTGTGTGTGCGCACCAGTCATCCGGCAAATAGTCATTTTCACACACGTATTCTGTGAAAAACTTTTGTTTTTCTTTGTTTCTTGAGACAGGGTCTCACTACTCACTACATAGTGAAACTGGCCTTGAACTCACTGTGTAGCCCAGGCCGGCCTCCCTGCATCAGCCCCCCAAGTTCTGAGATAACAGGCATGTGCCATAAAACCCACCCAAGAAAAACATTTTAAATTACAACAAATTGGGTTTTCCTCCTTGCCTAACATAAAAAAGACAGGAGAAGCCCTGGCTGTGGACATAGGTGGAATTCAGAGACTCATTTTGCCCTCTCTCTGGGGGTGGGGAGAGTTGGGTAGACTCTGTTTGTTGACTTTGTTATTAGTGTGTATTTACAGACTGGTAGGCTTCATTTCACCATATTTGTATGTGCACTTAACGTGCTTTGATCTTTTCTCCACCCACTAACTCTCCCTCTTCCCTCCCTGTCCCCACTCATTTGGAGCTAGGCCTGGTGGGACTACAGGCCTGTAATCCCACCACTCAGGAGGCTGAGGCAGGAGCATTACAAATTGCCCAGCCTGGGCAATTTAGTGAGACCCTGTCTCAAAATAAAAGATGGGCCAGGGATGTAGCTCAGTGGAAAGGGTCTGGGTGCAATCCTTGTACCACAAAAGTAAATACATAGATTAGATAAGATAGCCCTGGGCCGGGCCCTGAACTCACCCTTAGAGTGAAAGGGAAAGGCTTTCAGCAGTGGGCACTGGTGTTTCCTCAGCTGCAGCCGCCACCCTGCCCCAGGTTCGAGGTACTGCCTTTGCTGTGGAGTGAGAGTGTGTGAGATCAGCCAGGAGAGGATTTTTTTTTTTTTTTTTTGGTACCGGGGATCAAACTCGGGTCCTTGCACTTGCAGGGCAGGTGGTGGAACCACTGAGCTAAATCCCCGGCCCCCAGGAGAGGATATTGAAATGTGGGAGTGGGGGCAGCCCTGTGACAGGGCCTCTAGTGACTTCCCCTCCTCAGACAGCTCTGGGGAGAAAAATGACCCAGCCTAGGTGAGGGCTGGCTTTCAGGCCTGCGGGCGCATCTCCTATGTGCGCATCTCCTGTGCTGTGCTGCTGTGGGCAGCCCGCACAGTCTCATGAAGGGAACGGGGTGCCCTGAAAGAGCTCAGTGGCTGCTCTGCCTGGTCTCCCTGTGGCCTGCAGCCTGCCCCAGCCTGGCCGCTGCTGTCCAGATGTGTGATAGCCGCCGAGCAGTGTCACCCGGACCCACCCAGCCAGTCCTCGGGCTCAGGGCGGTGGGCACTGCAGTGCTGCCCCTGGCCCTTCACAGGAGCTTAAGTGTCTTCTGTTCATTGTTTCTAGACAACCCGAGAGATGATTGCTCGCTCCGCTGCTACCCTCATCACACACCCCTTCCACGGTATGTCCCGCCCTCACCCCAGCCTCCTGCAGCTGTGCTCTCCTGGCCAGTTAGGTGCCCAGGAGCTGATGAACGCACTGTGCCTGATATTTTTTCGGTGGCATTGGGGATGGAACCCAGGGCCTTTGCACTGAGCTACATCCCCAACCCTTTTTAAAATTTTGGGACAAGTCTCAGTAAGTTGCCATGCTGGGCTCAAACTCCAGGTCCTCCTGCCTCAGCCTCCTGAGTCCTGGCCTGACAGGCGTGCGCCACCACAGCCAGCTTTTCCCTGAGTTTTGCAGATAGTAAAGTGCCTTAATTGGAAATGCCTTTTTTTGAGGCTGTCTCTGCCGTCATAGTTTCACGAGTCCTTTCTCTGTGTCCTACAGTCATCACTCTGAGGTCGATGGTGCAGTTCATAGGAAGAGAATCCAAGTACTGGTGAGTGATCTTGGTGTCCCCGAGGCTCCTGACGAGGGTGGGGGAGCTGGCTGCCCATTGGCCCTCACAGGGCAGATCCGCAGGGGTCAGCTCGGATCACCTGGAAGACAGGATAGGAGGAAACCAGCCTGGATGGATGGCTGGGAGTAGGGCTGGGCCCCGAGCACAGGGAGGAGCAGGCGTGTGTCTGCTGGCGGGCGTGAGTGGGATCTCATCCAGCTGGGTCTCAGCACCGTCCCCTTTCTCCTGTGTGTGCAGTGGGCTGTATGACTCCGTAGTGACCATCTACCGAGAAGAAGGCCTCCTGGGGTTCTTCGCGTGAGTAAGCATTTCTTTGTCCGCGTGTGGTTCCTTTTGGTACTGAGGATCGAACTCGGGACCTTGCGCTTTCGAGGCAGGTGGTGGAACCACTGAGCCAAATCCCCGGCCCTCTTATGTGGTTCTTTTGGTACTGGGGATCGAACTCCGGTCCTTGCGCTTGCAGGGCAGGCGGCGGAACCACTGAGCTAAATCCCCGGCCCCTCTCTTACATGGTTCTTATGAAAGTGGAAACGCTTTCCTGAAAATATGGGTGGGGAATCTTCATTTACTTCCCGGGGAACTTTTGTTCCCTGGGTTTACTTTATGATAAGTTCCTTTTAGGCCCCTTCTGGCTTAAAGTCCTTGTTGTAAAAATCCCAGACCTTTACTCAGGTGCCGTGGTACATGCGTATTGTCCCAGCTACTCGGGAGGCTGAGGCAGCAGGTTGCTAGTTCAAGGCAAGTCTAGGTAATGGAGACCCTATCTCAAAATTTAAAATATAAAATGGGCTGAGGTATTTTTAGTTAATAAAAAGAGGAAAATTAATTTTTGAAAAATAGGAAAATCTGGGCTGGGGACTTAACTCAGTGGTTTCGCTGCCTGCTGCGCAAGCGCAAGGACCCAAGTTTGATCCCTGGTACCAAAAAGCAAAAAAGAAAAATAGGAAAATCATCTTCACATTTATTTTCCTTATGCCAAGAGAATAAAATTTTGTACTTTGGAAGAACTTAGTCTACTACACTCATTCTACTAACAGGAAATTGGAAGCTGCACATGGCAGCGCACCTGCGTAATCCCAGCTACACTGGGGGCTGAGGCAGGAGGTTGCTAGTTTGAGACCAGCCTAGTGAGACCATGTTTCAAAAAGACAAAAACAGGGCTGGGGTGCGGCTTAATGGTAGAGTGCACAGGTGAGCCTGTAGGTTCAGTCCCTAGCCCTGCAAACACAAAAACGTGACGTTATTAACTAAATGGTCTGCTTTTATTTCAGACTGCTTCCACATACTTGAATGTGTTTTCTGTTCTTTTCTTTTTTTTGAGACAGTGTCTGGCTATATAGTCCAGGCTGGCCTTTAACTCACAATGTAGCCCATGCTGGCTTCAAACTTATGGCGATCCTCCTGCCTCAGCCTCCTGAGTGCTGGGATTACAGGCATGTGCCATTCCACCGGCTTGAATGTTTTCTTACAGTGCTAGGAATTGAGCCCTCAGCTTTGCACATGCTAAACACCTGCTCCACTGAGCCACACCCTCTGCCTAAAATACCAAATACTAAATACTTAATCATAAATACTCTGGGCAATATGCAGGACCACTAGGATTAGTCTCATTTTTATTTTATTTTTTTATTTTTGGGGGTACCGGGGATCGAACTCGAGACCTTGCACTTGCATGGCAAGCTCCAGAACCACTGAGCTAGATCCCCAGCCCAGTCTTATTTTTAGAGCCTGAGAAAGCATTAGCCAGGTGTGGTGGCACCCATCTGTAATCCCTGAACTCTGGGAGACTGAGGCAGGAGGATCGCAAGTTCCAGGCCAGGCTGGGCAACTAACAATTGTCTCAAAGTTAAAAGCAAGAAAAGGGGGCTGGAGATGTGGTGCAGTGTGAAGGCCCTGGGTTCAATCTCTAGTCCAAAGAACAATGAGGCTCTTGCCATGCATGTGCTGCCTGTCACATGGTGATTGGAAGCTGGGCTCACACCTGCTCTTTCATCTGCAAGGTAGTGAATGCTCGCACCGTGGCTCCATCTGCGTAGTTCCCTGTCTCTGGAAACATGTTTGTTTTTCACTACTGTGGCTCAAACCCAGGGGTGCTTTACCACTGAGCTTCATCCCGAACCCTTTGTAATTTTTTCATTTTGGAACATTCTCACTAAGTTCCCCAGGTATGTGAAACTTGCCATCCTCCTGCCTCAGCCTTCTGTAGTGTGCACCACTGTGCCTGGCTTGGAAACATGTTTTTGATGTCCCTCATCTCTGTATTTGGACCGTTCTTATCTTTTGGCCTGCCAAACTGGAGTATCGGATAGTTTCGTAAAGCCATATTTGAGTCTCTTCTACAGAGCACCTCCAAACCGTGGGCCTCCATGCTCAAAGTCAGTAGTAGATAGAGCAAGCCATATGTTTTCAGAGTCGGCACAGAAGCCATCCGGGCTGCTCTCCAGGGCAGGGCTGGGCCTGGACTTGGACTGGATGTCTGTCCTGTCTTGTCCCATCCCGAGCGTCTGTGTTGAGTGGATCCCCTCTGACCCGTGACACTGTGTGGCTCTCATCTCCACTGTCTCTTCATCAGGGGTCTGATTCCTCGCCTGCTGGGGGACATCATTTCTCTGTGGCTGTGTAACTCGCTGGCCTACCTCGTCAATACCTACGCACTGGACAGTGGGGTAGGTGTGGCCGTGAGCCGCCTTGGGCCACCTTGTGGGCCTTGGACCTCCATGGCGGCTGCTTTGCCAGACTGAGCACGATGGGGGTCAAAGTGATGAGGCCCATTTAAAAAGGCTAAGAGATGATCTACACTGCTGACTGCAGAGAGGTGACCTGCAGAGTCCCAAGGCGTGACAGGGCTGGGAGCGGCCCCTCTGGTTCAGGGCCTTAGGGAGGTCCTTTCCTTACTGACCCCCAAGACAGACAACACAGTGAAGCCGAGGAGGCTTTATCCCACATACTGGGTTTTCTGTGGTCTCTGTTACTTTTAACTTTGCTGGAACAAAATACCTGACACCCATAATTTAAAGGAGGGTTACTTGGGCTCATGGTTTCAGTGCATGCTCCTTTGGTTCTGAGGCAGACAGGATGCAGAGAGGCCTGGCAAAGGAAAAGCAGCCCCACTTTATGCTTGGCAGCAGAGAGAGGAGGAGGACCCGGAAGGGGGTGGGCCCAGGCCACGCCCCAGGGAACACGTCTTCGGCCGGCCCACCAGCCCGCCTTGGGATTGATCAGGACCTTGTGCTTGCTAGGCAAGCGGTTTAACCATGGAGCTAAATCCCTGGCTGGTGCTCCACCTTTAAATACAGGAGACTTAGGGGACATTTTAAGTCCAAACCTTAAAATCTGTGTAATCGAGGGTGTTTAGGGGACGCTAGGGCTTTCTAGAAAGTCTGAGGTTTTTTGAGCCAGCCTTTCCCGGAAGCTGTTTTCCTGCACACTGGGCTGGCTTCCTATGTAGACAGCTCCCTCCGCCCTGCCTCAGTGCCATCCAGAGCTGGCTTCGCACAGAGCTAGGGAGCTAGGGAGTTGTCTCTTGGATATTCGGTGAGCAGAGTTTTGCAGGGGATGTATTTTTTTTTTTTGGTACCGGGGATTGAATTCGTGTCCTTGCACTTGAGCAGCAGGCGGCGAAACCACTGAGCTAAATCCCCAGCCCTAGGGAGATGTATTTCTAAAGTGTGGAAAAATTTTTCTTTGCGGTTTCGGTACTCGGGATCAAACTCAAGACCTTCCACTTGCAAGGCGGATGCAGCACCACTGAGCCAAATCTCCGGCCCTGGAAAACATTTTTTAGTAATCACATATTTCTTTTGTTTTTGAAATATTGAGGTTATTACATTAGTTCCTAAACCATTCTAGGGCAATACAAGTTTCTGTGGCAGTTGTGAAACAAGTTGATCATTTAGATTGCTGGCTTTTATGCTCATAACCAGTATTTTATGTTTTATTCTCAAAATTAATTTTCAAGCACTGGGTGTGGTGGCACATGCTTGTAATCCCAGCACTCAGGAGGCTGAGGCAGGAGGATAACCACAAGTTCAAGGCCAGCCTGGACTACATAGTGAGTTCAAGGCCAGCCTAAACTACACAGTGAGACCCTGTCTCAAAATAAATAAATAAATATTTCAAGTTGTCCAAAAAATGCAATTTAGAAGTAAAATGTATTTCTATGTCTTTGGGGTTAATATTGGCTTAATTTTTTAATTCATTCTGATAGAGTCTCTTTTCCTGTTTCAGGTTTCCACCATGAATGAAATGAAGAGTTATTCCCAAGCTGTCACAGGAGTGAGTTTTTATACTTCTCCTAACCTCCTGGGAATGGTTGTGTTTTTTCTTTTAGGTCTGGCCTGTATGTGGGTGTGGTGCCTGCCTGCATTTAGGGAGGCTGAGGCAGGAGGCTGGCAGGTTTGGGTCCTTGGGAACACAGCCACAGGGCACCATGCCCAGCTCCTCACTGACTTTTCTTTTCTTTTCTTTTTTTTTGGTACCAAGAATCCAACTCAGGACCTTGTGCTTGCCAGCCAGGCGGGGCACCACTGAGCTACATCCCGGGCCCCTGTCATTGACTTTTAAAGTAGTTTCTCTTGTCTTTGGAAGAATACTCCTATTTTTGTTTTTTGGTATGGGGGATTGAACTTGCACTTAGCAGGCAGGCACAGTGCCACTGAGTTACATCCCCGGCCCTGCTCCTATTTTCTTACAAGGTGTTTTGAAACGCTTTCTCTCTGTTGGTTATATTTACTTTTTCTCCAAAGTGATGTAGTTCAGTTTTATATGAATAAGGACTGGGTCCCAGGTATGAGCAGCCTTCTGCCCTCTTGTTAACATGTTGGATGGAGGCCAGGTGCAGGCCTTTAACACTGGCTGCTTGGAGGGCTGAAGCAGGATTGCAAATTGGAGGCCAGCCTCATCAACTTGGCAAGGGCCATCTCAAAATAAAATATGAAAAAAGAGCTGGAAAAATGATAAAGACCTGGGTGTGTGGCTCGGTGCCCAGGCTCTGTGTCCAGCCCCAGTCCTGGCAGAAAAGCGCTGTCAGGCCGGGTGGGCACAGTGGAGTTCAGGTCTCACAGAGCGGCCTCTCCTTTTGCAGTTCTTCGCCAGCATGCTCACCTACCCCTTTGTGCTTGTGTCCAACCTCATGGCCGTCAACAACTGCGGGTGAGTGCCCTGCTTTTTGGGTGTGGGTGGGAGCCAGGCCCTGGGCCAAGCCTTACAGCCCAGCTCCACCTTTTCACCTGGGAGCTGCAGCAAGGCACCTCTGACTGTCGTGCATGCTCTCCAGACCCCAGCACCAGCGTCTGCTCTCAGGCAGTGGCCTTCTTGCCTCTTCGGCCTAGAGAGGGCACTGGTAACGTCTCTCGGGTTTGCCTGCACCTGTACAATTGATGTGCAGTTGCCATGGGCATAGTAAGTCCTAGACTCAGGAGGGCAAGGTCGTCGTAGGTGTTGACGTTCGTGTGTTTCCTATGAATATGTCAGAAGGTGAGTCAGGCATCGAGTGACAACCAGTCCCCTTTTTCCTTCAGGGAGAAAGTGAGTTTCCCTCTCTGCCCTCAGCCAGGAAGTGCAGCGATGGCCTGAGTTGGGCAGAATCTGCCCCTCTCGCCACCTCCTGCTTCTTTCCATCCATTGCGCACTTGGAGGCTGAGTTAGACGCAATGCTCTTGTTCCCCGAGGCTCCTCTAGAGCTTGTGGCGGTGGGGACACCAGAGCAGGAGCTCGAGGTCAGCAGTGTTCAGATCCAAGTTTCCAGTGTGCTCTGTGGAAACAGCAGTTAGTTTTAAAGTTGTGTCTCCTGTAATTGCTGTGCACAAGAGTTTCATTTGTCTGCCACCAAGAATCGTAAATATAGGAAAGAATGAGATCTTACTTGTTGATTTGAAATGAAATACGGGGCTAGGGATTTAGCTCAGTGGTTCCACTGCCTGCCTTGCAAGTGCAAGGTCCCGAGTTGGATCCTCAGTACCAAAAAAAAAAAAATCCTTTGCCGGGGATTTAGCTCAGTGGTTTCGCTGCCTGCTGCGCAAGCGTAAGGACCCAAGTTCAATCCCCGGTACCAAAAAAAACAAAAAACAGTGTTACTTGAAATGAAATATGCAGGAGGATCCCTTTGAGATGTTTGGTCTTCCCCCTCCTCCAGTATAATTTGTTTCATTAGAACTAAAACTACCAAGTAAATAAATAAGAAAGTAGAACTAAAAGTGGCCCTCAGAGCTCTGCAGCAGGGAGGCATGTTGTCCGGGGCTCGCCGGACTGCAGAGCCCTTGTGGACTGGACGTGGACATGGAGGTGGACGGCCGTCTTCTCTCTTTCAGGCTTGCCGGTGGGTCCCCTCCCTACTCCCCGATCTACACTTCCTGGATAGATTGCTGGTGCACACTACAGAAGGAGGTACTGCTCTCCCCTGTTACTGATGTGATTAACTGTGCTGCTGGGGATGAACCTGTGGCCAAGCACTAAGCTGCATGTGCATGCACACACACCCCGCCCTGAGGCAGTGTCTTGCTAAGTCGCCCACACAGGGCTCAAATTCACGATCCTTCTGTCTCACCCTCTCAGAGACTGAGGGTACAGGCCTGCGCCACCAGGCCTGGCTTGTCTTTTTATTCCCCTAATTGCCTGTAAACCCCAGCTTAGCTCTTGCAGTCGCCCTTTAACTGCTAATGAAGGCACCCTTTACAGGGCGCTGCACCGGTCTTAGAAATCACCAGCAGGGCCCATAGGAAGTCACTGACGTGACCTAGAGCCATCCCAACGATCTCATTCCACTTATAAATAGGATCTAGGGTGGGCGTGGTGGCTCACACCTGTCATCCCAGCACCGGGGAGGCCGAGGCAGGAGGATTCCCACAAGTTTAAGGCCAGCCTGAGCTATATAGAGAGACCCTGTCATAAAAAAACACACATACCCCCCGAAAATGAACAGGAAGAGAATTATCCTAGTTTGAATAATAGCCTTGATTTCAGACTTGTTTTCACATTCACTTTGATTTGACTTGATTTTGTTCTTTTTGTTTGTTTAGTGAGGCAGGGTCTCACTATGTAGCCAGGCTGGCCTTGAGCTCTGGGCGATCCTCCTCTCTCAGCCTCCCAAACTGGGGTCACAGGTGTGCGCCACCATGCCTGGCTTTTGAGATTTTAAAATTCTCCTTAGAAACCTGACATTTGATTAAAGCGATAGCTAGTAGAGCACCTGCCTCACAGATGCATGAGGCCCTGGGTTCAATCCTCAGCACTGAAAAAAAAGGCTAGGCTTACGGGGTGCCTGATGGACTCCTTTGATTGCCCAGCTGGCAAAGTGGGAAAGCCCCAGTCCAAACTGGGCACGCTGTCTGAGTGAGAGATTCTTGGCTGTGAATGGCACCACATACCTGTGATCCCAGCACTCTGAGAGGCTGAGGCAGGAGGATCGCACGTTCCTGCCCAGCCTGGGCAGTTTATCCGCTCAGCAGGACTCTGTCTCAAAATGAAAGGGTTAAAAAGAACTGAGGATGTAGCTCAGTGCAAAGGCCCCAGGGTCAGTCCCCAGGATCACCCCCAACCCCTAACGAAAGAGTCCCTTGCCTTACTGAGGAGGAGGAGCCCAGCCTGTGAGCAGAAGCCTCTCTGGGCTAGGAGCTTCACCGCACCATAGACGCCTGCCTCTTGGGCACTGGGCTGCTTCCACCCTGGCTGGTGGCCACCCCTTCCCACTGGCCTCACTCGGGGCTCTGCTCTCTCGCAGGGAAACATGAGCCGCGGAAACAGCTTGTTTTTCCGGAAGGTCCCCTTCGGGAAGACGTACTGCTGCGACCTGAGGATGCTGATCTGAAGATGTGGGGCAGGGACAGTGACATTTCTATAGTACCAGACGCACGGAATGATGGGAGAGAATGTTGATTTCTATTCGGTGTGGTGCGTTTTTTAATAATCACTCGATCTTGGGAAACGGAGGCGATGGTGTCTGCCTGTTCTTCCTAGCATGGCACCAACCCTGGTCCCCCGTAGGACCCTGAGTGGGGACCGCTTTGCCCCTTTGTTTCCTGTAAGCAGAGAAGCGGCATTTCCGGGGCGCAGGCAGGCGAGAAGTAGAAGCAGGGGGCTGCCCCGGCGCCCTCGAGTGAGTGTACCACCGGAAGTTGGAAGCAAGCCCCGCCGGACGCCTTCCCGGGGGCCTCGAAGCCCCCAGCCCTGGGCTTGGCCGAAGCCCTCCTTTAGTTCCCTTGTGTTGTTACTGCAGGAGGCGAGGGGTTTTGCTTTTCACTCTTGGGAAAGCGCGTCTCACCCCACCTGGCCAGAAGTCCCCAGGCTCCCAGGACACAGCCCTGGCGTCTCACACGGGCGGCCAGGCAGGCAGCAGCGTAAGGGAGGAAGGGCCCGCCCACTCGGCTGCTGCCACACCCTGTGGGCGATTCCGGGGACTCCGGGCCGCAGCGCTCTTGGCCTCCACAGCAGCGTCGGTTTATATTCGCAGTACGTGTGGCGTTTTTCATATAAATATGTTTTCAGTACCTACTTTTTCCTCCCAAAAAATCCTCCAGTAAAGCCAATCTAGGCAAATGTGCCCCGTGATTTGTGTGTAACTGGCCGAGAAGGAACCAGGCCACCACCAGAGGGCGCCACGGCTTTGGCTGTGTCGGTGCCAGCTGTCTGGATGGAATCCGGAGGGCAGAGTTGGAGTCTCAGCCCTGCGCGGTGGTGCTCGCCTGGCACCCCAGCACTCGGAAGACTGAGGTAGGAGGATCACTGTGAGCTCAAGGCCAGCCTGGACTACCTAGCGAGAGCCCATCTCACAAAAGAAAACCCGCAAAGGCACTTTAGTTGGCCGCCCAAGGCATGGGGCCTGGTGTGGAGCGGGGGTGTGAGGCCCTGGCTTCCGCCAAGCACCGAGGTGGCATCTGGTCACTTCGGTCTTGCTGCCAGTCCAGGTCCGGGGCTGAACGTGAGGTCATGACCGAAGTCACGTTCACTGAGCGTCAGGACGAGCAGGGGCACTTCTGACGCCACGAAGGGAGGAAGAGCAGCTCCGGACGGCCGCCATGAGGTGACCGGAAGCTCCGCCTACAGGCGGTGCCGCCCATGTCCGGGGAAGTGCTGCGCCCCCAGAGGAGGGCCCGCCGGCCTACCTTGACAAGAAAAGTGGGACTTTCTGGGGCGGGCTACAGAAATGCCACGGCAAGAAAGCAGCCTTGGACTGCACACTGTAGCTTTTGTGATCCCAGCTACTGGGGGGTGGGGGCTGAGGCAGGAGGATCGCAGGTTTGAGGCCAGCCTGGGAAACTTCCTGAGACCCTGTCTAAAAAGCCTCCAGGAGTAGCTCAGGTAGAGCTCTCGCCTCCTGTGCAGGACTTAGGCCCAATGCCCTGTACCGCAAAAGGGAAAAAGAAAAGCAACCACAGGATGAAGGAAACTTCAAACATCAGCCCTGTACGCCAACTTTTCATTGTGCTCTAAACCCCCTGTGGCTTTGCTATAATTTCCCAGGTTAGAAATGGCCTCGCCCTCTTGCCATTGAAATCTTCTGTAAGATTCGATTTTTTTTTCTTTATTTTGGATACAAGTTTCAAACTTACAGTCCTGCCTCAGCCTCCCCAAGTAGCTGAGATCACGGACTGAGTTCTAAAGCCCTCTCTGTTTTGCAGCACCTGCCAGTCTCACTGTTCCCTAGCAAAGCTGCCTGGGGCTGCGTTACTTAAACCAGAGCAGGAAGAGCTGAGATCTGGTGAGCCCAATGGAGTTGGTGAAAAGGCAGGAGGAACGTCCAGCAGCTGCTGCAAAAAGGGAGGGAAGTCCGGGCAGCAGACCCTGCTCCCACTGCAGCTCAACGCCTCCTGCCTCGCCCTACCCGGGAGCCCATGGTCAGAGCTTGTGAATGAAGCTACTAAGTGAACCCAGGCTTGGGGGCGCCTGCCTGTAATCCCAGCACTGGGGAGGCTGAGGCAGGAGGACTGCCTGAGTTTGAGGTCAGCCTGGGCTGCATAGTAAGCTCCTATCTCAAAAAAATTCCTCATCTCTGAAATGAGCAATGGGACATTCCATCAGCACATGCCTGGCATGGTCGCTACTGATGTGTGGCAGCTACCTTGAGAGTCAGTTGTTCCGCCCAGACTTCGTGGGAGGCAGTGCGGATCCCAGGCTCTGCCCTCAGGCCTGTGCTTAGCATGCAGATAGACTCGCACCTAGTACCCCCGCACATCTGAATGAAGGTCTGACCACCCGCAGCTGTCCGCTCCTGAGGTCTGTGGGATCCTCAAGCCCTCTTCCCAAACCTGCATCTCAGACTTCATTTTTCAAACTTTTAAAAATTCTGGTGTTTTTGAGGCAGGATCTCACATTGTCATTCAAGCTGGCCTTGAACTCACTCTGTAGCTCAGGCTAGCTTCAAACTCGCAGCGATCCTCCTGCTTCAGCCTCCTTAGTGCTGAGATTCTAGGCATGCGCCACCATACTGGACTTGCAGCTTTATTAAGCACACTAGTGTCGCGCTATATCCCAAGCTAGAGACCGTGGTGGGGTCTGATGACTTGCCCAACCTCCACCTCCCCCTGCTGCTACTGAGCCACAGCCAGATGGTCAGACATGTCCCTGCAGGGTCATCTCCCCTCACCCACTTCGGCTGTCACAGAGCCTTCTCTGTCCCATCACCAGGGTGGGGTGCAGGAGGAGCAGGCCCAGAGGGGCGCCTGTGACTACCTGCCTCCCTGCCTGACGGCAAAGGTGAAAGTTTTTCTTAGCCCAGCGTGGTGGTACACGCCTGTCATCCCAGAACTTAGGAGGCTGAGGCAGGAGGATCTCGGCCAGTTTGAGGCCAGCCGAGCTATATACTGAGACTGTCTCAAAAGAAGACAGCCTTTCTAAGCATTCTGGAAATTTCTTCCCCAGCGTCCTCAATCCTTTCTGGCCCGCGTTGGCCCCAGTCGGCGGCCTCCCTAGCACCACACGTGGCCCCTGCAGCTGCTGTGTGTCTCTCCCTGCAGAGGGAGCTGGGCTATTTATAAACACCAGTGGGTGTCACTGTGCAGTCACAGCCACCTCCTACCACCCCGTCCTCTGTCCTCGTCCCCAGCTTCGAGTCCTGTCCTTCCACTCGGAGCCACCTGAAGGGGACACGAGTGAAGGTGGCATCTACACGGCTGTATGGGTGACTGCCGGGGCGCCCCTAGCGGTGGGAAGCTGCCCGCGCCCTGTCCTGGAGCTGCAGCCCCCGCTCCAGTGGCCCTCCTCACCTCAATCCCAGCGCTCAGGAAGCTGAGGCAGGAGCATCGGAAGTTCAGGCCCAGCCCGGACAATTTAACCACTTAGTGAGACCCCTTTTCAAACTAACCCCCCACGGGCCGGGGATTTAGCTCAGTGGTTCCAGTGCCTACCTCGAAAGCACAAGGTCCTGAGTTTGATCCCCAGTACCAAAAAAAAAAAAAAAACTACCCCCCCAAAACACACACCCATGTCATCAAAACCCTACTTGGTTTCCCAGGTGGAAAGGCTCGGGAGGGCTGAGATGCCTGACTGAACTCAGCTTTACTAACAAAAGGAATTCATTGGCTCAAAGAACGGAAATGAGCTGGGCATAATCCAGGGGTTCAAACAAGGCCATCCACATGGTAAGAAAACACCACCGGGCAGTGCCACACACACGGCTTCTAAGAATTTGTCATTCGGCAGAAAAGACAAGTATGTCCCTGCAGAACACCAACAAAACCCTCCGGGGTGGACCCTGGCTTAGAGTCCACCCTCGTCCGAGAGCCCCATGTCCCAGCTGCGGCCAGAACGCCACGTGGGCTGCACCCAGGGATGCTGAGGAAGGAGGCTCACCACGAGCCCGGCCTGAGCTATGTAGAGGGACCCCTAGCTCCATAGCTAAGGCTTGTGGCACCACAGAGCCGCCCTGGCCAACGCCAGAGCAGAGAGGGCCACACAGGGTCTCCGCGGGGAGGACCCGGGGCCCTTGGTGGGAAGCAGAATGCCCAGCCCCGCTCTTCTCCACTCTGCACGGAGCTCAGGCTGAGGAAGCCCCGCAGAGAGGCCCTGCCAAGTGGGAGCTACAGGGGCCCCTCACCAGCACCTGCCTAGAAAAAGCAGTGCGGCTTCGGGGGAGAAGTTCCTGGCTTTCAGTTAGACACTGAATGCCTCGCAGCTAGGAAGGAGACAAATGGGAAAACCACAACCTCAGAGGTCGCTCAGTTGAAGCTGGGCGTGGTGGTGCACACCTGTGATCCCAGCACTGGGGAGGCTGAGGCAGGAGGGTCACTGCGAGTTCGAAGCCAGCCTGGCCTACATAGTGAGTCAAGGTCAGCTTGGACTATACAGTGAGAACCTGTATCAAAAACATGAAAGAAAAGAAAAAAAAGAAAGAGAAGAGATTGCCCAGTTAGGTGGATTTATAGGCCATTAAATCACCATGCCTTTGGGCCCGGGATTTAGCTCAGTGGTTCTGGTGCCTGCCTTGCAAGCGCAAGGTCCCAAGTTCGATCCCCGGTACCAAAAAAAAAGAAAAAAAAATCACCATGCCTTTTCATCCCTGTTGGTTATTCAGTTGATGCACTCTGGCCCGGTCAGTGTGACAGTCACCAACAGCTGCCACCCTCTCTCTGCACACAGCACCACTGTTGGGAACAAAAGCTAATATTTAGATGTCAGAATCAAGCTTCTAAAATAACTCGAAACAGTGGGCTGAAAGCAGCAGGAGAAAATTGAAAAGAAGTGGGAAGGCCTGCATTTAGATTAAAAGAAAAAAATCAGCTGCACAAGGCGGGACTGAGGGAGCTGGGTGGCAGGAGGTGGGGCGGCTGGGCTGGGGGCTGGAAACCTCCAGGACAGCAGCCAGAAGAAAGCGGCTCTCCTGCTGCTTCAAGTCCTGGGTGTGAAGGGGAATGCAGTGAGCATGAACCCCGTAATCCACTGCCCTCCTGGGCCCTTCCCGAGCGTCTCTATGCACCCCAGCAGATGCCTTCTC